CAACAGGGTCCTGGAGAGATCACCGTTTGTACCGGAGAGTACTGGAGACGGATGCGGGAGCCAACTTTCAAAGCTGCACACAGACAGGTATACTGCCGGTGTGGCAATCATGGGATTTGGCCAAGCGGCTGGCTCGCTCCCTGTTGGCACATCGCCTCATCTTGACTGGGCACGTGGGAATTCCAATAACGACCAGCTCTCTTGCAGCACACTTTCGTAGGCGGAAAATCTTCTATGGCGTCATTGTTTTTGCAAAATGTGCATCCTTATTCATAGCACTCGGGCATTCTCGTTCTCCACACGACCAATCAGCTGCTGCGAAGAATTACGCCAGGACCAAGAACCCAAATGGGTAGCATTATGCGCTTTGATCGGGGCCCGACGGCGCAATCAGGCCCGATTGGGACCCCGACGGTGCAGTTGGGACGAAGGACTCGAGGACGCTGCAATCGATATATGGCGCAACACCAGCCATATTATGGCTGAAGGCCGATTTTTGCCAGGCCTTATAACCGTCGCTGGCTGAATTACATGATTCTTCGTACAATTAAAGGGGCCCGACTGAATCGGGCCGCATGGGGATCAAAAATTTTTTGACCGCCAATGATGTCATATGCGACAAAACCAACACTTTGCATCTCATTGCCTGGGACAGGTCCACTCTAGCATTTTGGCATTGAATTCATTGTAGGACAAGATCGGTGATATATAATTTAATTTGCCACGAAACCAACATTTTCGCTAAGCAATGAGCGAATAACAAAACAATATATAAAAAACAATCACTAATTTCGATTAAACTACAAAAACAATCATTTAAAAAAAATCCAAAAATAAATATAACACAAATAGTATATAAACATAAAAAAAAACATACAATACATAATCTTTTTTGTTTTATTTTTTTTCTATAAATAACAAAAATATCGAAATACTATGTACCAACATAATCCTTGCAATTTCATCACCAACCCCCTTTTCATTATTATAATAAAAATTATTGTACCAATATATAATATTTGTAATACAATTAATTACTTTCATTATTAATTCATATAAAATTCAATAATGCAAAAAAATACACTCATTATAAAATATATATAAACAATACACAAAAACTTTTAATATTTTCAAATTTCAATTAATATTATCCCCACTGCAACACCCCAAATTTCATTTTCACCATTTTTAAATACGCCCAACAACTATTTAAAAAACAATAAAAATAATAAAAAAACAATCATTTCAACATATAACCTTCACCAATTTTTATTATATATATATTAAATATTATTCCTCATATTTAAATTTCATTTATATATTTTTGTTTAAAAAACTTCTACCCAAATACATCAAACATAATAAACAAACAAAATCATACAATAAAATCTAAATAACTCATATAAATATATACAAAATACAATTCAAATCATATAAATTATTTTCATCACAAAAACATCTTCTATATAAATATAAAATCATTTACATAAACCAAATATACAAAATCAATTACATAAAACCAAATATAATTCACCAAAGAAATAAAATCAAAATATATAAAACAACTCAACAAAACTAAATACATAAAATCAACACACTAACCACTATATAAATAGAATCAAATTTTCTAAAACACAAAATTTTAATAATCAATCGAATTTATAATCCTTCAAAAAACATAATCGACTCATTTACATATATATATATTTTTTATTTTTTTAATCTATTCATACATAATTTAAACAACTTATCTATATAAATCTCCATAATTAAACTATATAAAACAAACACACTAACCATTATATAAATAAAATTAAATTTTCTAAAATACAAAACAAGATTTTAATAATCAATCGAAATTATAATCCTTCAAAAAACATAATCGAAATACAAAAATTCGTTTTTTTTTCTCCCCCTCATTTATACAAATATATATACACTATATTTCTATTGAAATTTTACTCTATTCATATATATTTGTTTTGCATACTAACATAATTAAGATATAAAAATTATATATATAAAATGCAAACACTCAATAAATCTTCTATTTTCTAATCTATCCATATAACCCTCTATAAAAAGCTATTTAACCGAAATACAAACATTTAATTTCTTCATATTTTATAAATATAAATAAATAAATTATCTATATAAATCTCCATAATTAAAATATATAAAAGATCTTTTTTGTTTAAACATTATTTTTTATTATTTATATAATACTCAAATAATTCCGTATAAAAATCAATATAATCAAACTATATTATTTTTTTTAAATTCTATAAAAAACATATATATCAATATATTCTCGTTATAACATCATAAATTTTCATTTTAATCTCAACAAATCTTCTACGGAGATCATACATATCAAAACACTCTCACTATCACACAACATACAATTTTATTACTCATAAAATATATTTTTCCTCCCTAATTCACAAACAATTCCAACTAAAACATCAACTTTTAATAATATACTAATAAACACAAATCCAACTAAAAAATAAAAACTTTTAAATACGAAAATAATACACAAAATAAACTTTCATAATACCAATATAATTTTTAAATGCAAAGAACTTGCTTAGAGAACTTACTCAGAAAAACTCGCGCCAACAATTTACTCAAAACAACTTACACAAAAAACTTGCTTAAAGAACTTATTCAGAAGAACTCGCGCCTAGTTTCACAGCATATTGTTGTTACAGCGCGTTAATTAGAAGACATTAGTAACAATACGTGCTCGTAGTCAGTTCTATTTGATTTCTAAGGCATTTAACTATTAATCTTGCAAACTGATAAACCTTATCCACAATAAAACTAGAAGATGGGTAGCCCGAAAGCATTGGCAGCGGCAGCGAGTTCTCCTGACAATCCTAGCAAGTTCTCCGCGCAGTTGCTCGTCTGAGCAAGTTGTTGGCCTGACCTCTTTCCCAATCCTGTACCATTCATATTAAATAGACATTTGTGATTGTATTACCGTCTCGTACCTTATCGTGACAATGCGACAGGCTTTCTTCAAACCAACTCTGAATCACCAAGGACACTGAGTCCCAAACTGGCGGCGGAGAATCCAGCGCAAGGTCTCGCTGGCCTTGCGCCCGAACTCAACCATATTTGGCTTGTTCAAAAACACACGCGCAAACAACAACCATAACCTGACTTTGAAGAATTCCGAATATCTAGCTGTCCAGTGAACGTTTAAGGCCAAACTTATTTGTTTGTTGGAGGGTGGCGGCATTCACCAGCAGGTCGCTCAGCAAAACCCAGGCCGAAACCTTTTCATCATGGGTGTTTCTCAAAAAGGGTTCTTTGGGGCCCCGTTCCAGTTTTCCCGGTTTGGCTTCGCCTTTCCGATTCCCATAAGGAAATCAAACCAGAAGATTGCGTTACTTCCGAAAACCCAAAGATATTATGGGTTTGATCCGAACAAGTACAGAGCAACCCCACATCGAGCCACGTGCTAACCAAGAACCAACGGTCTTCGTTCGTCTTCAAGAGCTCCTTGCAAACATCGGTGAGCAGGAACTTTTTGGATATGACTTAAAGTCTGGGCCAAACAACCCCAAACCTGCGGGCTGGGGTAACAACACAGCCATAATGGTCCTTTCAAAAAGAAGAGATCACACAAATCGGGTGCAAAACGGGGAACATCCAGGGAGCCATTCTTGCCTTAGGGACCGCTGAATTCAAGTTAACCTCGCAAGTCACAAGGAGCACGAAGAGACACCTGAGTTGTCGACTGCACAGAAACACTATCTGTACTAATTACTACCAATTCACCAACCTGAGCTGCAAGTAATGTAAGGGAGGTTCACGATGGAATCGCTCATTTGGCCCCTGTCACTATACAAAAGTGCCACCCGCTCAGTGTCCAGGCCGGCCTGCAAGCAATCGCGAGCTACAGCCTCAGGTCGGGAGGCATGTGGCTCGCCCTCGGGTTTGCCGATTAACTTACTGAATTGCTTGGATGTTCAACCCACGTCAGGTAAGTTGCAGCTTTGGATCCAAATGGGGTAATGCAGGGTAGAGAAATAGGCATGGTTTGCCTCACTCAGTGGGGTGAACACCTAAGCATGCTGGCCCAGCACTGCCGCCCCCGAGCAAAAAGGACATCTGCAGATTTGGTGAGGAGAAGGTACAAGATAAAAAGAAGAGGCAAAGAGAAAGAGAAGGAATATAGAGTGAGGATAGAGAGAGTCAGGATAGAGATGTGGGCTATCTCTTCATCCGTCTATCCGTTCATTCCCCATTCACTTCTCTCATTCCCTCTAACTCTATTTCTGAGGCTTGACCAAGCTGTAGGTGAAAGAAGAGCTTGCCTCGCCTCATCTGTCTCTTTCTCTCACATAAGCAAAATAAAATAGGTGATGAAAACCCCGAAAGTAAAGAGGGAAGCAGTAAATAATTGAATTGTAGTGCTTTCCCATCTTTCGTCTATCTATTCCTCATTTCCCTGTCTTTTTATTTACCTTTCTATCTTTGTCTTTCTCTCCTCTCGATTTCTGGGATTTGGCGGTCACACGGCAAAGACAAGGAAGGAAAAGACAAGAGACAGATAACCGCTCAGGAAGCAGAAATAGAGAATGGATGAAGACTGGAATGATAGACGTCGAAGCACTAATCCTTACCAATCAATCTTGAAGTTCGGAGAGTTGTAGAGGTGCTTGCTGGCCTATCATTATCTCACTCTTTCATATCCTTTCTTCTCTTTCCCATTAGTAGTACATTTCCATAGTTATTTTAACATCAAATAGTAAACAACTAATAAACAAAACAACCAAAATAACAGAACATATTAGGAAACACATAAAATAAAAGAAGATGACAAGAAAAGAAGCATTCCATCTCTTTCTCCTGCATTCGTTTGGAGTTGAGATGTGACCGAGTGAAAGAGAGGTCTGGTATCTTTTCTATCTTTATTATTTATTTCTCTTTAGTATTCACGTTATTTCTTATTTATAGTCTTTGTTACTGTCTCTCAATTACATTTCCCATGATATAAAGTGTGTCAAACAAGGTCGCAGACTTGTGCTTCAGCATGATACCACCACCGATTCTGGGGTACTAGCCAGCCTGTTCAAATTTCGGGCTGGCCAATCTGGCCAATCTGAACAGTTGATAATTCCTAAGCAGTGCGAAATCGTCAGCCAAGATAGGTCACAACACCAGGAAATGTCCCACTGAACACCTGGGAACTGGGAGTGACACCTTGATTCTGGAGGCAACGTTGACCCCAGGAGTGAAGAATCCCATATAACAATAAACTGAGTATGCGTCAAACTTGGCGGTTGTGCTTTTCCTATCCAACCATTGAAAGCGTGGGAAGAATTGGTCGATGAGGTCAGCGCGTCCAACTGCTGGAAGTCCAAGTCTGCCAGAGCCTATCGACGGATGTGAGTTCCGGGAAAACGTCAACTTTGGAAGAGTGAATTTCAGAAATTTGGCGACTCACGCTGAAATCGGCGCTCTTTGGCCATAGGTGCCCTTAAGGCTTGACAGTAGCCCGAGGGTGCTTGCTCCATATGTTCACCCAAATATGTAGAGTTTCCCTACCGCCCAAGAAGAACTTCCAAGACTAACGCAAAACAAACCAAGCCCCTGCTCCTTTTGCTGGAGGGTTTCTTTGTTTCATAGTGTTCTCCCCTCCCCTGCGTTTGCCCAAATGAGTCACAAGGCTGTAGTTGCGGGATAGGGGACTGAGATCACATGAGCAGCTCGCGGGACGCATTTCCGATGGTTCTGACGGCCTAGCGGGAACCGGAAACCTGTCCACACCTCCCGCGCCTGAGGCGCGCGATCTCCAGCGAGCATGCGCTGCCTCGCTTTGAGCCACAAGGCCAGAGCCCCCAGTTGGAAATCGTTCGGCCCGTTCCCCATACTGATTCCCTTACACTGGTTCCCATATACATATCCGCCGACCCCTGGCCAAAGAGGGCTGGCACATGAGCCTAAACGAAGATTCATCATCAGCATCACCATCATGGTGATCATCAAACTAACATGTTGGTCATCAGCATCAGCATGATCATCATCATCATCATCTTCTTCGTCGTCGTCGTCATCATCATCATCATCATCATCCTCTGGGCTGGAGGGTCCGGTGTTCACATAGAATCCATCTGGGGTCGGCGGAACTGGGCAGCCTTGAATCTTGAAAAAACACAAGCTCAGAACAGGTGCCCGGTTCAAGGCGTGGCTTTCCCGAACATACTGCACGAGACACGACGCGGAGGCAAGGTTCGAGGGCCAAATCGGCCAGACAGGAGTGCAGCAAACAAGCCCCGCGTCAAACACTCGTTCATGGCTACCCTCTTGCCAACAGTTGTGGAAGTGCACAGTAGGGATTGGAAAGACCATCTTTGGAAAGTGGGAAACAGTGCTCAAGCAACAACTTGCCACACAAGAGATGCGATAGTCATGAACTGCTGTGCCACAATGTGATTCCTGGCATCCTTCACAAGAATGAACATGTGCGCTGGGCGCAGCTCAAACTGTGTGCACGCCAGCTGCAGATATCCAGTCCCAAGGCCATCGGCATCGTCACTCTCAGGGCATCGATCGCACTCAATTGCCACATCGAGGCCAATCGAGATTCTCATTTCGACAACCGGACCTTGCGAATGCCCAAAAAATCAGGGAAACCAAACGGCGGAGGGATTTCAGAGGGATCCGTATTATGTTTGGGTGATGCCTCAAACAGCCAGGTGGACACATTCATCTCAATTTGGCACGTTTTTCAAACATACCTTGATCATGGGAAAGTTGGCAAACCTCTTGCTTGTTTCTCTCGAACAATCTCGGTTCCCTTAAATTAACACCATGTCTGGGCAAAAATAACAAATCGGAAATCAGGAATCGCAATGCACCTGCGCCACGGGGTCGGCAAGTGATGGTTTTGCACCCCAATCCGTGAGCTCGTTTTGCCCAAGGTCTGAGCTGGAATGTGTGACTGGGTGCCGCCGCGCACGTGACTTCAATTTGAGCTCCTGACGCAACTCCTAACTACGTGTTCCCCAAAAGGACATGCACAAAATGGCTGGGCCCTGGAAATTTGCGTCCCTGTTCTGGGCTTCTGGGGCTGCGGGCAAGCGCGTGGAAGCCTGGAGCCATGCCACTGAATATGGAACTCGAAAGCTGGATCTGATATTCCTCATGTGTTTTGGGTTCCATGCGAAAGGAGTGCACCCAAACCCAAACCCCCGGAAATAGAGAGAGCACACAATACAAGGAATGAGTCAAGCTGTCGGTTCTCCAGACCCGGCAAAGGCTCCGCCATTCTTGTCGACAGTTTTCCAGATCTGACTGCCTACTCATGTCGAGGCTGCATCTTGACTCTTGACGTGTCCTCTAGAATGGGATGTACCAAAGTGCCTGCGCTGACATTTGATTCCCAATGTTGCAGCAATTTCTGACAACTCAAAACAGACGAATTGCCCTGTTTCTGCTGAGATACTGATTCCCTCGACTTCAACCAATCGCACAACCTGCGAAACAAGAGGAAGCCATGGTTGCGCCTGCGGGGTTTGGACAAACTGTCAGTAAACTGTAAATCGATCAGATGAAGTCGACAAGCGCTTGTGATGGACGGCAGCCCGGCTTGCGCCAGAGTTTGTGGGTGTTGTGCTTATCGAAGAACTTGACTCAAACATGACAGCACCATCATTTGAACCTCACAATGTGGTCTCGACACATGCGCTGCCATTGTGGTTCGGGCATGTTCTCGCACTGTTGTCTGAGAAAAAACAGCGATGCAAACCTGGGGAATCTCCAAGAAAGAAGCCTTCATCACAGAGGCTGGCTGTGCATAATCTGTCCGACACCCGCGCTGCAACACACATGGAACGAACGCCCCATACTAGCTCGTGGTTCTGCGAGCAAAACATGGTGAAATTCCTCGATCAACGTAGCCATACTGGGGATGGACTACATCTGCTTCGCACCAGGAAAGGATGCAACCCTATGCATACTGGTTGATGAACCAACAACCAAGTGGTGCGAAGCGGAACTGTCCATCCACCAAATGAGAATCCAAACCCGAGCATATGTTGTGCACATCGGACCCCGTGCGAACCTCCAAGTCTTCCTGGCCGACTGAATGCTCCACTTTTGACCTGGCCGTTCCTTGTGATCCGAATCCATCTGTGTTCAACCCACTTAGTAAGTCGGTGACTGGCAATCCATGAGTAAGAAGGAGTTCATACCATACTTGGCAAGTAGGTTAAAGCCATGGCTATGTGTCCACCAATCTCTCTTGTTCCACTTGTAACCGAAGCCATGTTTATCATCTACCAACTTGACGTGGGCAAAAAAGCGGACCAGCCTCAAGGAGAAAGGTCTTTTCCCAAGCCACTGGTCTTCCCCGCGGACAATGGACACATCAACCTTCTGGGTGAGTCAGAACATTTCTCAAACTGAAAAAAAAAGGAATCCCCAAGAAACTCCGTGGTTCGTTGCGTTGCCAAAACCAAAAACTTGTGGGGAATATGCCACAAATCGACTCTAAGCTCCTGAAGGCTAAAGGCCTCAGGGTATGGCTGCGAACCGCCAAGTAAAAGTAAGCTTTTTGGGGTTCCCAATCGGTCGCAAGCTTTTGGGAACCTGTCTGAGGTCACGAAGCAACTTTCCCCAGATCTTTGGGTAGATTCCAATCTGCAGGGGGAACAAAGAGCAAAGGCTCGAGAATCTGCTCCAGTACAGGGGTGTCAAGTGATTGCGATCAGCACCTGGTGCATTGCTTGGAGTGGGTGACCAGAGTTTTGTTAAATGGGTTTAGACCAAGTTTCTGTGATACTTGCGAGAAATGTAAAAAGTAGTCATGGGAATGGCTCATGGCATCACAAAAGCGATCTTCCACATGTGAAGTGCTTACACTCGTCGTTTCCGAAGTGGCATCCTGGGTCTGGGAAGGCCTCGTCTGTTGGGCACGTGGCGTGATCCCATGAACTATGGGTTACGCCAGTATGCCAGTAATCGGGCAACCCAAGAGAAATCATATGGGTATAAGGCAAACATAGGCTACGCTCTTTTCAATCATGGACATACAGCTGCATGCTTGTGGAACGTTGGGTTTTTCAGGATGTTTTCCAGTCATGGAAGCACAGCGTTACACAACAAATGTTACACAACACTGATTTTAACTTTCTACCGTTGAGGTTTGAGCTCATATCTTATGGCTATGATTATTGCAGCACCTGCGGCGGGCCCTTCGATTTGCGTGGGTTCAAAGCACCAAGAAAGGAAGCTTCTTGTCGCAGACCTTCGGGAGGTTGCTCAAGCATTTGCCAGACTCAGCAGGGCTCCGTCCCAACACGTTGCCTTAGCGAACCTACAAGATTCCAGGGACACACGCTTAGGGCCACTGAGGTTCTATGGGCACGGGGGCACCTCGATCGCATTTGCTTTGGTTGGATCGGTCCGGAGGTTTTGTAGGCACCCGCCGGCCTGGAACCGCGCGAGGAGTCACTGCCTGGCGTCTACACGCGTCGCGCTTGGCTTCCACTTTTGACGCACACTGGCCAGAGGTTGAAGCTGTCAAGTACACCATGATGGGCTTTCGCATTCTGATCATTGTCTCGAGGCTTCCAAGAAAAGGTCAGCCTCATGCCTGAAAAAGGTGGCCAAATGTAACAAAACTCGACCAGGCCTGAGGCTACCAAAGGCGAAACCACAACATCCGAGGCTGGGGGTCATGCCCTGATTGAGAGCAGGAAGTGATCGGGCCAAGGGCTCAACAGCCCTTGGCCGCCCTCGAAAAAGTCCTCTGCTCTCGCTTTTCCCGAGACATTCAGGCTGGCTGCTGAATACCCACACAGACTCCTGGACAAATATCGCAAACTTTCATCGTTCCCCCGAACCCGCATTTTGATTTGCGTCTCACTTGCCCCAAGCATCCGAGAACAAAAGGCAAATCTAGCGGACCTCGACTAGGACATGGGACACCAAAAGGTCAAAACAACTCGACAGAACTGCGCCGTTCTTGGAGAGTCTGAAGCCCTTCCGTGAAAAAAATGGGTTGCTCTGCCTCCCCAGAACTCCTCCACGCTGAGGTGGTGGTCCTCTGGGCGGTACGGCTCCTGCGGGCGCGCCGCTTGAACCAACCGAGCGTGAGCCTGGCGGAAACGGGTGTGTCGTTTCTAGGTGCATAGGGCTCCTGTTGCATTTTCTGTACTTCCACTTCTTTCTTTTCTTTCTTCGAAGCTTGAGCTATCCCGCGGCGTTGGGTGTTTGCAAACCTCAGAAACACCACCCACCTTTCGGATCCGGGGGCGTGCTCCCATTTTGATGCATGGATGCTTTGGATGCTCTCCAAAATTGGGGGCATCAATCATTCGGTTCGGCCTCGGAAAAAACATCAGCATTGCGTTGTTCGCCAATCGTGAAAATTCTGTCCATACCCCAACGATTTGTGCAAGATCCCCACTGGAGCTCCCAAAGCAACTGCCATAAGTTTCTTACGGAACTTTGATTGGGTTGGTCAAAAAGCTAGAGGCCGTGAGCCTCCAGTAGTCATTGGAAAGCACCCAACCTTACCGCACACCAGGGGTTCAGCATAGGAAAGTCTTTATCGTTGGCTTGAGGTGGCAATCAAGCTTGAACAACAGTTGTCAGAATGTCCACTTTGGCACCGACTTGGATAATTGAAAGACATCACTGCACCAAACTGTTGAAGCAGTTTGTATTTGGAGGACTTCCTGAGAGGATTGGGCAAAACATAAAGCTTTTGGTTTACTCCAAAATGGTCGAATGATCTTCTCCCAAGATGTACAGTCCTGAGTCTCTAAACGTTCAGTCATTTCTGAGCTGTCCTCCGATCCCCCGCTACAAGTTTAAGTTTTAGTGGGTCAAATGGACACCCCCACTAAACGCTAAAAGGCTAAAAGGCTAAAAAGCCAAGGGGAAGAAAAGGCCCGTGTGCCTCCCCTTGGAAATTCGCCTGCATGCAGGCCCGCTCGAAGTGGCCCATCATCGTCTCACGCATCGCTGCCTCTGGAAAGCTGCTTTCCAGGTTGTCCCACGGTAACTATGAGTTGTTGATCCCCAGGATATGAGTCAAAACCTGGGGTGTTTCGCCCGCGTTCTATGTTCAGAATTTGTGTTGGCTTCCTAGCTTGGCATTTTTGTAACAGGTGTAAAAGAACCAAATGTTCGGCCTGAGAACGTTGCCCCGAACGGAAAGCAGAACAGTTTTTGAATTCACATCCATCTTCCAGTTGCGGGAGGGCGTTTTCTTTTACATACGCACTTGCCCTGCGTTGTTCTTCCCGTTTCCCGAGCTCTTCCTCTTCCCGTCCTCTTCCTATGCTCTTCCCATGCTTTCTTGTCCTTGTTCCGTTGTCAAAAGTGTCACAAGAGGCACATTTTGCTTCTTGCAGCCCAAGTCGAGAAGCATCACAATTTCGCGCCACTTTATATCCTGATTTTGCCTTTCCCATGTTGGTTGCGATTCAAATGTTTCACTGCACCTCACTGCGTTTCCTAACGGTTTCCGCCCGGCATGTTTTAAAACAGCTTAGCCCAAAACCATACAACATAAGAGGGCGGCTGCAGCTTGTCTTGGTGCATGTCCCTGACCAAGTTGTGACCTGAGTTTTTGACTGTGGCTATAGAGACCCACCAAAGGGCTCCTTGTCCTGCACTCGCAGTTGGGTTTCTGATGGGGTGCCGGATTGGGACTATGATCTTCAATTCCTGAGGTCCCTCAATTAAAGCAAGAAATCCATGTTTGCACCTCAACACTGACCCATCGCCCCACCAGAAACCCTGCCTTGCCCTCGTCCACACGAGCACGAGCCTGTCTGCAGGGTTTTGAGCTTGACGCCCTTTAAAGAAATAGATGGCAGCAGTAAATGATTGGAAGAACACAAGCAGGGCGATGGGTTGTTCAGAACCCACCGTAGTCCTATCCTTTTGGAATAGATGGGTTCCACTGGTAAATAAAACTGGAACCAAACTGAAACCGTCGTCCATTTGCATTGACTGTTGAGCTTCTAGGCTGGCCCTTGTCCCCGCCCCCAATTGCCGGATAGAACATGGACACCAGGCAAGAACGCCTGATTGGTTGTTGATTTTGGAAAAAGACGGCCACGGCAAATTGAAAATCCATTAAATTCAGCCAGACTCACCATTCAAAGGGTGTTCCAAAGCCCAAAGCCAACTGCTGGCTGTGACGGGGAGCCATGGAATGTTATGGACCTTCCTTGGCCCCGTGTCACCATTAGTCACTAGTAGACACTGGCTGCAATGCCTTCCTTGCTATGCCTCACAATATCATGAGCCATTGAGGTAAGCCTGTCCTTTCGCCGGAAAATGCATCAATCCCCCCCATGTCCCTCCATGAACGTTTTGGCCGAACCCGCCTCGGGGTGAAAGTCCTTAGACTGTTCTTCCAGCTTTTTTGACTCTGGCTCTTCCTCCACGCCCTTCTCCTTCGCGACAGGCCCAGAAAATCGAAACTGGACCACTGGTTAGCCAGTTCTGCGTAGTCCTCTCCCACGAAATGTGGTAAAGACACAGACATCATTGAAGCGATTGGGAAAACACAACGGGTCGCAATCCAAAATCAACTGAGGGTTGTCAACCTTGGGTCAATATGAATGTGGGGTTTCAACCACTTTGGGGAAACAGGGCTCCTTATGACATCACTTAAATTGGCCCAAAGGGTGATGACAAAAACCACTAAAGGGAACCC